CAGAAAGCGCTGGGTTCAGATTTCTGCTCAGCCATCAATATGGGTTAATTGTGGGGTCTGATTAGATGGTTGTTTGTAGAAAAAAGGACTAAAAGATAAAAAAATACAGAATATATTATTTTGCAGGGTATCATTTGCTGTGTAGAATTTTCACGTTACCTTTGTCTATCTTGACAGGGCGTAAGATTTTTTTTTTAAATGAAGTCATAGCAACAATAATGCATTATCTTTGCCTAATAGAGTTATATGTTCAAAATAACACCTGTTGTTAATTTCATGCAAAATGGGGTATATTCTTCTAGAAGACCATTTAATCAAAACATTTAAAAACTGAGCTCAGCTCCCAAACATGCAGTTAATTCCAGCTGCCTTTGTTGTAATACACTGTGAAGATTTCACTAAATGATTGGAATTCAAATGCGAACAGAATTATCTTGGCATTTATTCATTTTAAAATGTTTTTGAGTCATTTTGAAGTAAAAATTCTGTTTGAAAAGATTTTTTTATATAAATATGGCAGTAATTGCTTCATCTTTGAAAGAGACAAAGAGATCGGGGAAATAGAATAATTTTCTGGAATTGTAGCATAAGAAGACAAACAACAGCAGCAGCACATGTATTATCAAACAATTATAAGGAAACTAGTTTTCTGGCTAAATTCTGCTTCAAATAGATTCAATAAATGTTTTATACTTTATAGAACATAGAATGAGATTATCATATATTAACTATGAGATACAAATGTATATTTTAAATGTCCTTGAGGATAGCCAGTTTTAATTTTCCTTCATCCCCAAATGTTACTGTTTATCAGAAGTATATATAGGAAACAAAGGACTTGTTAAAACATAGCTTGCTGCCTAGGAGAGAAAGAAATAATGTTTTGTGTTCTTGCTGCAGGAGATCTAATCTCATCTGGGAAGTCAGAGAAGCAAACTGAATTTCCCGCATTGATTCTATCAGTTTGATAAGGCCGAGACTATTACTTCTTAGTGGCATGTAGCAGATGTATAGGATAGAGGCCTTGAATGCTGAAGGAGATGAGACAGGAGTCTTCTGTTGACATTCTTTTTTCCCCATAGGACATGACAAAATACAAATCATCTTTTCATTGTTATATATTCTTTTCCACGTCACTATTATCTTGGAGAATAATGAAAAATTATAACGTCTATAAATTACCGAAAATATGCCAATAGTTATTGGAAGCGCATGGTTAGGGTTTTTTTTTCTTAGCTGAGTAGGAAAAAAAAATATAATTTCTGTCCTTAACAATACAGTTTTCAAACATCCTTACATCTATTTCTGATTACTTTCATTTTTTTTCGTTTGGAGGAAATGAACTAGTGAATAATTTTTTTTTCAAGAAATGAGGGCTGGCCTATGTTCCTGTAACTGTGAATTTTCCAATTCAGACATGATTTTCCCCCATATTAAGATAAATCAGCCCTGCCAGGTGATTACTGGGCTGTCCTAACATCAGAAAAAGTCAATAGAGATGGTCCTGGTGAGGGATATCCAAGAAATGCCAAAGTATATAGATAGTCCTTGACTTACAACCATAATTGGAATCAGAAGTTCTTTTGTTAAGCAAGGTGGTTATTAAGTGAATCACACCTGCTTTTACACATTTTTTTGCCTCAGTTGTTAAACAAATCATTGCATTTGTTAAGTGAATCATGTTGTTAAGCAGTGTGGGCAGTGGTGGGATTCAGATATGTGAACAACCGATTCTCTGGTGGATGCCACTTCCGGAAGTCCATTCTGGGCCTGGGCAACAAAAAGTTAGCTACCGGTTCTGCCGAAGTGATGCGAACGAGCTGAATCCCACCACTGAATGTGGACTTCCCTCATTGACATTGCTTGTCTGAAGCTGGCTGGAATGGTTGCAGATGGGGATCACATGACTCCCGGATGCTGCAACCGTTGTAAATACATGCTGGTTGCCAAACGCTTGAATTTTGATCACATGTCTGTGGGGAACGCTGCAATGGTCATAAGTGCATGGACTGGTCATCATGTTTTTCAGTGCTGTTGCAACTTTGAACAGTCACTGAATGAATGGTTATAGGACTCCCTATATGCCAGACTGGGAAAATAAAAGGAAAAAGTCACTCAAGAAGGGGGAATGACAAACAAGTCAATGGCAGACTGGAAGGACAAGATAAGGAAAATAACAAATTATGCCACAAAGAAGAGGGGGTCAACCTATTTTCCAACGTAAGACAAGAAACAATGGATGGAAACTACTCAAGGAGAGAAGCAACCTAGAACCAAAGAGAAATTTCCTAACAGTGAGACAATCAACCAGTGGAATGACTTGCCACCAGAGGATGTTGTGGGTGCTTCATCACTGAGGCTTTTAAGAAGAGACTGGACAGCCACTTGTCTGGAACGGTATAGGGTCTCCTGCTTGAGCAGGAGATTGGACTAGGACCTCCAAGGTCCCTTCTAACTCTATTATTCTCTAATCTGCTATTAAATGATAGTCTAAACACTGGGCAATCAAGTATTTTCTTTTTAAATTAGGTTTTAAACTGGGTATTTTATTGTTGTATCTGTTTTATAAGGCTGTCAGCCGCCCTGAGTCCGTAAGGAGAAGGGCGGGATAAAAATTAAATAAATTAAATAAAAAAAATTAAATAAATAAATAAATTTTTCTTTTTGCTTTTGTGGAACAAACCGAATTGTTGATATAGCATATACTTTTTATAAAATGGAAATATTTGCATTAATTCACTATTGTCTGCTTTGGTTATGCAGAATATATTTCCTAGCTGTGTTATATCAGTGAGCAGGCAAATCTAACAGATCACAATATACCACAATATAGCAACTGACTTAAAACACCGAAGTGTTTTAGAGGGTCAATTAATCAACAACCCAAAGGTCCTGATCAGTCAACTTGAATCAGAAAAACACTAAATCTTCAAAAGGGATTTTTTTTGTGTATTGCTTTAATAGGATGTTGATCCTTGTAATATGTATCCTGGGAGCTATTAATGAAAATGACTACATTTTTTTCTGTTGCTAAGATCCAGAATTGTAGTTTTGTTTAATTATAAAACATATGTGTTTACATAGTTATATATCTGTCTCTTTTATTGATTTGCTGTTAAGTTACCAGAAGAAAAAAAATGTGGTCTGGATCTATTAAAAAGAAATTATTAATTTCTGGTATAAATTTGACCTATACCTATGTGAAGAGACCTTCCTACATCAGGACTTAAAATGGAAAAAATCCATAGTTAATCATAATTAGAAGAGATCCAATAAAATGAATAAGACTTATTAATGATATTATATTATTGTACTGATTTTAAATACTCTTCTATTGGTAAGGCTGAGCCTGGGTCCCATTCATTATCTTTGCAGAGGATAACTAAAAGGTTAATTTATTTAAATCAAGATGATTTAACTCAGAAAAAAATAAGTTTACCTTGATGCTTAATTTTATTCATTAATTTGTATCCCGCCTTTTATTGTTTTTACAAATAATTCAAGATGATGGACATGCCTAATATTCCTTTCTCCTCCTATTTTCCTCACAATAACAGTCCTGTGAATTGAGTTGATCTGAGAGAAATTGACTGGCCCAAAGTCACCCAGCTGAATTTCATGGCTAAGGTGGGACTAGAACTCACGATCTTCAGGTCTCTAGCCTGGTGTCTTAATCATTAGATGTTTACTGAAAATATTTTTTTTAATCTACCAAAATGTGTAAACACAAAGAACAATATTTCTTACTTGTTTCTGGTTGTTTTCTTTTAATGGTGCTGGGCTCAATGGCATTGCAAAATAGCAGGGTTCATCTTAAAGCAGTAGCTTACGTTGCATCAACTGTTAAATATTCTATTTATAATTACAAAGGAACAATCTGTATTTTTCCAATATAGTTCAAGAAAGTCTGAAGGCCCATGAAACCTCAACCCTCTCAATTTACACTTTTCTAATAAAGACATAGTGTAACTGAAGCTATGAAGATAGATACCCTGATAGCAATCTATCCAGTCCCTTTCATCCATCATTGTTTGTTCTTTATCTGTCTTTCTACAAAAGCTGTGCCGAGAGGAAAAGTCTTTTCATATCCTTTGTAATTCTGGACACCGGAAAATATATGTATATCGAGAGCAAAGAAGGGTAGTTGTCTGACATTTAATCTTCATGAAAACTGACACGAAGAGAAGAGCTAACCTTCTGCATTATTTTTAGTTTGATATTCTGTGGTGCTTTATTGATCATCGCTGGCGTCCGTCACTGTGCATAATGATAACTGCTTCAGAAGCAGAAAAGAAGGGATTGAATAAGGCCTTTAGGCCTATCAGCTTCTTACTGAGAGATCTGTCAATAGTGACTGTTCCCTCATCCTTTTACCAATAAGAACGGTTTGTCTGGGTATTTCAAAAGCTCTTGCATATTGACAAGATATTTTAAAATCAATGAGAAGCTATGGACTTTTCCAATGAGTTGCTGTATTTTTGTTTCAGAAAAGAAAGGGGTTGGGTTTTTTTTTTTTGTTTTTTTTAAGTCTTGATCTGGAGAACAAATGGGCTATCATAAACCCTTACTTATTTTCAACTATTTACCAAAGAACTTTCTGTAAATCTCCCTTTGCAATGAAAGACATGCAGGGAAAAAGTCAAAGCCTGTCCTTACATCAGAAATAAAAGAATTGCTTTTAACTTTCCTTGGTTCCATATCAGTTGTTTTTCCAAGGCTAAAATACTGCACAACATATACATACATAATGCTTCAAGCAAATGATTTGTGAATACAGAATTGGAACTAGGATGCAGATATAAAGCAGTAAGATTCCAATAGCAGGTTTTCTCATTAACACATTATATTTAAATACATAAATGTTCATGAGCTACAGTTCCCTTCATCAGATGCATAGATGGCACCGACATCATTAGTGGCAGCTTAAGAAAGCTTACAGCTTTGAATAAAATTTGTTAATCAGAAAAATGCTACCAGATCCCTTCAGTTTTTTCGCCCTTATGGATGCAGCCATAATGGATGATGATGAAAGTAGATGCTCATTTTTTGTTTATCTACAAGTGGAGCACTTATCATTTCATCCAATACTGATGTGTTAGTTACTTACAGGTAGTCCTTGGGTAAGCCCAAGACAGTTGTTAAGTGAGTTTTGCCCCATTTTATAAGCCTTTCTTGCCATAGTTGTTAAATGAATCACTGCAGTTGTTAAGTTACTAATATGGTTGTTAAGTGAATACGGATTTCCTATTGACTTTGCTTGTCGGAAAGTTGCAAACGATGATAGTGTGACCCTGAGACACTGCAACTGTCATAAATACATGCCAGCTGCCAAGCATCTGAATTTTGATCATGTGACCACGGGAAGGCTGCAAGTGTCGTAAGTGTAGAAAACGATCATAAGTCCATTTTTTTTCAATGCTGTTGTAACTTTGAAAGGTCACTAAATGTTGTGCAACGCCAGGTCCGTGGTAAATAAGGCCCCCCTCATTCAAGAACTGATTCAAGAGGGGGGAGCGGACCTGGCGGGTATCACCGAGACCTGGTTGGGCATGGAAGGGGCATGGAAGGGGCATGGAAGGGGGAGTTCCCCTTGTTGATCTGTGCCCACCAGGTTTCCAAGCATTCCATCAGCCGAGGGCCCGGGGTAGGGGCGGGGGGGTGGCGGTCGTTATAAGGGAGAATTTATGTCCAAGGGAGACCACTGTGCCTCAGATAGACGGTGCTGAGTCCCTTCTTGTGAAGTGGGGGCAAGGGGTGCAAGTGGGCNGCTACCACACCAGGAAAGCTTACCAAGTAGTGGAGAGACCAAATTGGCCTCCAAGAAAGACCAAATAAAAAAAATAGAAAAGAGATATGTCAAGGCAAATTATTACATGGCCAGTACATAAAAATAGCAGGCAAAGCAGATAATAACACAACCTGGCAATGGCTATAAAAAGGAAAATTGAAGAAAAATACTGGCTGCATAAGAAAAGTCTCAGGAATAAATGTATACAAATCCAGAATTGGGAAGTCAGCAACAAACAGCAAATGACACCCCTGCAAAGAAGCTGAAGAAACAGTGGACCATCTTGTTAGCTGCTGCAGACAATGGCATGACATATAAACTGACTACAAACAATGGCATGACAAAGTAGCAACAATGGTACATTGGAATATCTGCAAGGAATACTATTTGCCTGGAAGCAAGAATTGGCAGGACTATAAAATAGAGAAAGTAATAGAGAATGAAGAAGCTAAAGTGTTCTGGGACTTTAGAATTCAAACAGACAATACCTGCCACCTGCCATAGACTAAACATTGTTGATAAGAAAGACAAAAAAGTTTGGATAGTGGATGTGGCAGCATTTGGAGATAGTAGAATAAAAAAGTAAGAACTGGGAAAAAAATACAAAGACCTGTAAATAGAAATAGAACAATTGTAGCAAAAGAAAGCAAAGATACTATCAATGATAATAGGCACCTTGGGTGCAACCCCCAAACATCTGGGGCAGCAGCTGAACAGCACTAGCATTGACAAAAATCACCATCAATCAATTGCAAAATGCAGATTTACTTGGAACAACTTACATCTTGTGATGCTACCTTTTATATCATGAAATAACAAGGAAGGATTTGATAGTGGATAAAAATGCTAAATCCAGTTTAAACATCTGGATGATTGTGCAAAGAACCATAACAACAACAACAACATTATAGCACAATGTATAAGTTATATCCATTACATTATGATATCTTAGGTTCTTGGGAAGAACTTGAAGTCTATGAAGACCTACATCAGCTGAAGAACTGGTAGTTGTAAGTTTACATGGTTGTGAGTAGATAATAATAACAACAACAATACAAGGGGATGCTAGAATAGAAGACAAACAATTGGAGAAGATCACAAAGTATCAGGATCTGAAAATTGAAGTTGGAAGATTATAGCATAAACCAGCCATTGTAGTCCCACTGGTTATCAGAATACTGGGTACCATACCATAAAATATTGGATGGCACTTAGAAAATCTGTGCATTAACAAAATTTCAATCTGTCAATTTCAAAAGGCCACACTGCCTGAATCCACACATATACTACATGAATGCATTATAACATCATAGGTTCTGGGAAGAACACAATGTGTATGAAAGCCAACACCAGCGAAAGAACTGGCAGCTGTGTTTTCACATTGTTGTGTATATAATAATCATCTGAAATTCACTTTGGCTTGTAGACTCTGAAGAAGTAAATGCAGTGTTTCCTAGGAAGAATTTTGCACATTGTGGTCTGGGCCTATGTGGCGAAGGTTGTTGAGAGTGTGGTTGCACAGCAGTTCCCTCGGCACCTGGAGGAAACAGTCTATCTGGACCCTCTCCAGTCGGGCTTCAGGCCGGGTTACAGCACGGAAACGGCATTGGTCACGTTGGTTAATGATCTCTGGAGGGCCCGGGACAGGGGATATTCCTCTGTCCTAGTTCTTTTGGACCTCTCGGCGNTCAAGACGTGGTTGTTCCAGCAAGCGGGACTGGCCTAGGGGATTTTATAGGGGTTTTAATTACTTTTAATTGGACACTCTCAAATATTTCGTTTTAATTAAATTTTAACTAGGTGTAATATGTATTTGTTAGCTTTTTATCATCTGTCAGCCGCCCTGAGTCCGAAAGGAGAAGGGCGGGATATAAATGCAATAAATAAATAAAATAAAATAAATAAATAAATAAATTGTTGTAAATTGAGGACTATATGCACTCTGAAGGTAATGGAAGTAAAGGACACATAGAAAGACACACAGATATGCAAATATCTTTTATTAAAATTTCGACAATTGCACTCAGTAATATGTGCTGTGTTCTGGTTTTCATGAAGTTTCCTGATTAAATGACTCATATGGTTAGCAGCATGTTCTTAGTGATTGAGTTTGGCTTTCAGTGATGTTAACAGAAGAAAAGCAGGGAACAAATAGATTCAGCCGGCCTTGCAGCATTACAATGGAAGATCTGCCCATTATCACCATGCACATTGCAAAATGATGCATCAGTACTGCTTTAATTCTGACAAAAGAAGCACGATCACGCAGACACCACTGTTGACTTCTGTAATGAAACATCAGCGCAGAGTCTTCCTAATTGAGTTTTACAGATCTCTTTTATAAAATAGGTCATAGAGAATCTAAAGAGGCCAGATTCTGAGAATTATTTATTTTATTTGTTTTTTATGCCGCCCACCTCACTATACAGCAACTCCGGGTGGCTTGTATTATAATAAAAAGTAAAAACAGGTAATACAAAGCAATTCAAATTAGTAGAATTAAATAGAAAGTTAAAAACCAAGAGGGTGGATAATAAGGGGAGGTGCCTTTTCTACCCAATCAGCCACCCCAACATAGTGTGTCTCTATTGGAGCCTGAGGCAGAGCTGGAAGGTCAAGAGTGTGAGGACAGACTCCCAGCAGGAGAACAATCCAGAGGACGGGCCACAGCAGAAAAGGTTCTTCTCCTGGACTCTGCCAATGAAAATCTTTGGTAGACGGAATCCAAAGTAGGCCTTCCTGTTGGAATGAGTGGGGATGGATTAGTCCCATCAGGTTGAAATGGGTGCACAGATATCCTGAACCCATATCATAAAGGGCTTTGAAGATAATTAACAACATCTTTATTTGGACCCGGAAGCAATTTGGCAACCAGTGTAGCTTATGTAACAGCAGGGTAACGTGTCATCCAAGAGGGCTCCAGAACTGTCTGTGCCACTGCATTCTATGCCATTTGTAGCTTCAGAATACTCTTCAAGGGTAGCCCCATGTAAAGCATGTTGAAATAATCCAATCAAGAGATAACCAGCAGCTAGAAGTCCCAACACATGCAAAAGGTTCTGGGTGAAGAGACTGTTCTGCAATATATATTGTTGGACAGATTTATATATCTATATAAATATATATTTAATTAGAGGAATATTCTTCCAGTAATTCACTAATTGAGCCCATATAATAAAACTACATCTTTAGCTTTCATATGTAACTAAGATAGTGTGATTTTGATTCTTGTCACTTTCTATGAGTACTACTATTCCTGGGGTTTTAAATATTCACATGCATTAAAACTAATCAGTAAGACCTTGACTGTAGATTTAAATAAAACATTTATTTAGTTCTTTCAGTAAAGAAAAAAAATATAAAGTAATCTTAATTCATGAGCTCTTGCTGTAGTCACAAACTGGCCTGACCTAATCCTTAATTTAATATAATTTCACTAAAATACTCTTAACGTTATTAAAGACATATTTACGTTATTACGGTAGTGCCAAGTAAGTGCAGCTGATCCAGAAAGATACATAAAATACTTCCAGTTGAATTTCCCAAGGTTAACCAAAGCAACTAAAACTCTCTTCTGAAGGAGTCCATCTCATGAATTTTTAATAAAAAAAATTACTGTTGGCAAATTAAATTCACCTACTTGAAAATATAGTTGTGATTTTGCAATTACTGTTGATGGTCTGTGATTATCATATGGAAATCTGTCTACAAATTATACAATCTAGAACCTGCAAATTATATGACAGTGAAAGAATATGTGCCAGCTATACAAGGATTTATTTATTCATTTCAATTTATATGGGTGTCTATCTCATCTTCATGACTAACAACAGTTAAAAACACTATATGACAACACATTACAAGAATGCAAACATCATTTGCAGCTGAAGTAAAAACAAAACCCGCAAACAAATAAACACAATTATGCGGGTTCTGCTACACATTCTCCAAGCTTGGTGACACAACCGTCTCTAGTTCTGTGATTCTATGATTCTAGTAGAAGGGTCCTGGGGGGATGATGTTCCCAGGGTGAGTGCCATGACAAGGTCCTGCCAGATGCCTTTTAGATAGAACCCAGAGCAGGTCTCTCATGCCCAAACACAATGTTTTTACTGTTTTTTTTTTAATGAAAGTTAAAGGAAAACTAGATGTTATTTAACCATGCTTTAATGTTTCCTTTTCATTCTTTCCTACAGATGATGATTTTTTTCATGAGCTCCCAGAGACCTTTCCTTCTGATCCCCCAGAACCTCTTCCTCATTTTCTCATTGAGCCTGAAGAAGCTTACATTGTCAAGAACAAACCTGTAAACCTTTACTGTAAAGCCAGCCCTGCCACTCAGATCTACTTCAAATGCAACAGTGAATGGGTTCATCAGAAGGACCATATTGTAGATGAAAGGGTGGATGAAACCTCTGGTGAGTTGCAATTATTTTGAGAAAGTGTATAATGGCTTTGGTAGACAGATTGCCTTAAATTCTGTTGCAGTAAGGTGACAATGTCCCTAGACATAGTATAAGGATCCTTTTTTGTGGAACCCTAAATAGATAGAATCAAATATTTTAGAGATATATTTTGGAGTAGGAGGGGGGTTCAAAGAGTGACATTAATGCTTTAATATTTCTATACTATCCTTTAATAATTCTAACTCCACAAAGTCAGACAGATTTTTGTCATGGAAAGATTAAGGCTTACCAATTCAATTGTTGGTTGTTTTTCATTTAAAAAAAAATCTTACTTCTAATCAAAGACAGGTAGTCCTCGACCTACAACCATAATTGAGCCCAAAATTTCTGTTGCTAAGCAGGATAGTTATTAAATTAGTTTTGCCCCATTTTACGACCTTTCTTCCCACAGTCGTTAAGTGAATCACTGCAGTTAAGTTAGTAACATGGTTGTTAAGTGAATCTGGCTTTCCCATTGACTTTGCTTGTCAGAAGGTTGCAAAAGGTGATCACATGACAGCCAGGACACTACAATCATCGTAAATACATACATCACAAGCATCCAAATTTTGATCATGTGTCCATGGGTATGCCGCAACAATCATAAGTGTGAAAAATAATCATTTCACTTTTTACAGTGCTGTTAACTTTGAACTGTCACTAAGTGAACTGTTGTAAGTTGAGGACTACCCTTAAGTATAAATATAGTTATCCAAATTAGAGATCACCATCTATGGTTTTTAATGGCTTAATAAGAATAAAACTTTACTGGAGGATGACTATTGTCAAAACCATATAGAATCAGTTTCAAGGATATATTTTTATGTTGAATCCATATACAAATATGGTATGTACACTCTTAATTGCTCAGGGCACAGAAATTCTACTTATCTACTTTTAGTATTCATTTTATTATATTTAGTATTCCGAAATATTTTTCTGTCAGTCTGCCTGTCTATCAATCAATAGGCTTGAAAAGGTATCTCCTGAGCTATAAACCTATTTGTGTCAATGATATTTTCTGAAAGATTAATAATCAATACCTGAGATCACATTCAAAATGGCAGATTGAGTCTTGTGCTGTTTGACAGCAATGAAAAATAACTTGCTAGCAAGCAATTTCTTTTACAGGAGAATTGAAGACTTTGACTAATTACTCAAGGAAAAAAATCTACTTAGTACGTGAATGCATAAAAATTTCATATAAATAGTTCAATATAAAAAAAACTCCTATCTTTTTAATATTTGAGAATACAGATCACTGTTGAATTGGTGAAACAAATCCATAGCTTTTTGAAATAATAGCAATTCTATGGGAAAGTATGGAATAAATTTTCACAATTCTGGAAGACAGGTTGCTGTTTTGAACAAATTAGAGTTATTTTCCACTTTTGCTGATATTCCATGAGTTCTTTTGCCAAAAAGGTTAGCAATGTAATACTTCTACAATGGCCCACCAAGTAGCAGCTATTTTGGCTGCTGATCCTTAAGCATGAGTTCTTTAATGGGCCCCTTGCTTTTTCAGCATTTCTAATTTGGAGAAATGGTTGGGTGGAGATTAGACACCACCTAACAACTAAGTCAATTTCATTATTCACAGAATTGATGAGTCAGGAAGTTATAGTTTAACTCAAAATTTCTCCAGTGATGTTTTCACCTAAAGTTGTATATCTCCTGCCCAGGAGAATTTTGGGTTTTCTATTCATACAATATTTATCTCTCATGATTATGGGAATGTGTTGGTCAATAGTCAGATATAATCTGAAAGAATGAGAAAAGAAGAAGAGATCTAAGAGCCTATGAGTTTTTAGTCAAAGAATACCAGTTTTTCATACTTCTGTGTGGATAATGACATGGTTCTGATGGAATGACCTCTTGTCATAAAAACGTGGTAGATCCTTCATTGTCTATACACCCCAGGATTGTAATCTCATACCACTGAGAGTTCATAGATAGTTCTTAACATTTTACTATGTGAGCAAGAAAGTATATCATGACATTGTATACAGAAGGGCTTTGCAAAATAGGTAGAAACTTCCCAGTAAGAACAAAACCTTCCCCACATTATTAGAGCAGCAGCATTCTCTGGAGCCAGTTTGGTGTAGTGTTTAAGACATCAGGGTTAAAACTGGGAGACCCTGAGTTCTAGTACTCCAGTAGCCACAAAGTCAGCTGGTACGATGGTATTTGGGAAAGACCTTGGAAGACTGAGCCCATAAACACTGCCAAGGAAGCAGCTAAATAAGAGATAATGTACTCAACAGCTGGATAGTGAGTGGGGCAAGACCTCATAAGAGATCCTCCCTAGTATCCCAGGCTATAAAAGAAATGAGAGGGGAAATGTACTTGCAAGAGTCTGCCAATATAGCTTTACAATAAAGTAGAAATAGCTCATCTGATTGTAATTCCTATCAGGTTTACCCTGCAAGACCAACAACAGTCTTGTATGTCTGAAAGTACAGTTCACCCCATTCTCTTGTCCTTTATAGCCTGAGAAAGTGTCTCTGGGCCCAGTCTCCCAAAGCTTTTGTCACATATCATCGCAACAACCTTCCAAGCAGCCCTGTAAGCATTATCTATTCTAGTCCTAGCAATGATTGCACAGTCCTGGTATCCAGTCTCATCACATGAGTGGTAGAAATGGTGAAAGCGAAGTATCGTTTTATGGTCCTTTATTTGAAATATATTTTTTCTTAAATAGCTTACAAAATGTCCATCATTTCACTGTATGTGAAAGCCAGGGAATAATATGGGTAATTATTGATGCTGATGTATTTATTTTTCTCATTTTATGGTTTAATTCTCAATAAACAGCCTTGTAAATAGCTATTGAACCTTTATGTTGTTGTTAGTCTGTGAAAGAAGATAAAATTCACATTGTCCCCAGTCCTGTTGCTATAGTTGCATTGGCATTCACATATCAAGAAGTCAAGTACATCTTCACTTGCTTGTGACATACCATCTTAGAACCAGATTTTTTCCTCTAAACCCTCAAATCCTAAACAATGAGCAAATACAACACATAGCCATTTTAGGGATGGCAAACCCTGACCATGGCACTGGTAATAAAAGGCATCTGTTAGTCTGAGATTACAGCGATGGAGGATCAGAAATGGGAATGAAAAGCCTAATGCTGCATATCCTTGGCACTGCTACATATCTGAAATTGTAAAAATGTAAAGAGATGAAAGAAAGCCATCAAAGGACTCTTAATATGTTCATAAATGCTGGAAGGGCCAAACCATATAAAATTGTGGACTCGTTTGTTTATTTCTCTTGCTCCGTCCTTGACTCTTTTTCTGTTTGCAAGAATGCATTTTTCTCATTGATAAACATGGCATTGTGAGTATTTTATAATCCAACTATAATTGAGGATGCAGAAAATAACAAGGTTGGGTTTAGTTATTCCCATAAAGAATAACTGGAAAAACTGTGCCCTCAGAGGCTCAATTATTTTACTAGAAACAGGCTTATATCTACTTGCTGACTAAGGTGGAAAGTTATTATCACTGTATTTGATGAAATATTTCTGAGTATCTTAATGCTGACAGATGCAGTGTAATATTATAGAGTTGAATGCTCTAAAGGATCAATGAAACCATTGATTCTTCTTTTTATTACTGCAAGGACAATGACAAATAATGAAGTTTCTAGATATATTTTTTTTAAACTCAGTTGTTTCATTGAATTAAATAATGTATTTGGCTACCTATCTTATAGCAATGACTCTGGATGCCATACAGAGGGTTAAAATTGAACAACAGTAAAATAATCAATAATCAAGGTCCAGGGTCAAAATAGTCCCAGGTAGCAAAAAATTGTAGCAATTAAAAGAGCAACTAGCAGAGCTTGTTAACTTTCCAGCTGAAATATTTGTTGAAACAGCCAGGTTTTTAGTATTTTATGGAAGACATACTGAGACTCATCTGAAGCTCTGGGGTGATGCTGTTTCATAGGGCCCTTTAGCTCAATTTAACTTCTTCCCTTTTCACCATTTCAAATTATTGAAATAAATGGGCCTTAATGTCAAGTTGTAATATTCTTTACAATTGTTTCCTCAGAGAAAGGGCTTCTGGTTCTTTATATTTTCAGGATTGCTTGAGAATTTCTTTGAGATTTCTCTTATAGTGCTTGATAGTTGGAGGTGATAGAAGGTGTTACTACTGGTCTGAAAACTGAAAAATCCTTGTCTGCCTACCCATAGGAATATTTCATGATATTGTCCTTTAGGATTCAGTTAAAATAAGGGAAGACAGGAGGGCTACAGCCTGTTATATGGTAATACCATGACCTTTCACAGACCTCCTTAAGCTCTCCCTCTTTCATTAAAAGTATTATTATTATGAAATTTCCCAAAACAATTCTGTTTTATACTAAATGAAAACTGACAGGAAAAGGGCAGAATTTTTCTACATTTGTTCCAACAGAATTTAGAAATGAGGGCTCACAAGGTCGTTTATGCTTGCAGTTTTGATCAATGATTTCAATAGCCAATATGAAATATAGCTTCAATTACAAGAGACAGAATATTAACAAATTTACTTTTATTTTATTAACTTTTCTCTACACCTTATGATAGTTATTTGGGTTGTTTTGAGTAGATTTCACTGCTTCAGAATTTCTCGGTGAAACAAGATACTTTTCAAAATGTACCACAGAACCCAAGCAAATTTTAAATGAAGCATTTTGAAAAAATCTTGCTGCCCTATTCAGATAATCAATTCATCCTTTGACAATGAAGTAAGCTATATCATCATCTTTTGGTTCTATCTGAAGGAAGTTAATTTAGTCTTCTTTGAAAATCTCTTTGGTTGGAATTCTAATCAGATGTCCTTCACAATGGTATAAGTCAGGGGAGGAATTCTGGGAGTTGAAGTCCAAAAGTCATAAAAGGGCCAAGTTTGAAGACCCCTGGTATAAATATTCTTGAGGACTGTACTTTTTATCAATCATTTTGGAGTCTGAGAGTTTGT